GCCACAATCTCCTGTAAATCCCACAAGCTGCCCAGCAGTCTGACCCGCCTTTCCCCATGAGCTCTGCCTGCCACCTCTGTGCAGGCCACCGGCTCCGTGGGAGACTCCCGTGCCTCCTCTGGGCGCAGAACCTGTGCGTCAGCAGTGCCCAGATCAAATGCCATCCCCTCTAGAAATCTCTCTTGGGCGCTCATGCTGCGAGTCCAGTCCTCAACTGCGCACTCCTCCGCCCTCTCATTCATCTTCACATGCCAAGGTCAAATCCCACCTCCGACCCCTGTTCTCTTCACCGTAAAAGTTTTGATTTTTAATGTATTTTATTATTCACAAGTATTTCCACTCAACTGCAAGTTTCTTGAGATTATACAGTGAATTCATCCTTACATACCAAGGTCAAATAAGTGAATGGCAAGAGTGAGAAAAAGGGAATCAGACTCCCAAACAAAATTCAGCAAGGGAATGTGTCCCCAAGATCTTTGTTCTCTCCATAGCTAACAGAAAGCCACATACTCCATTCTGGTGATGCACAGCACTGAAACCTCCTTTCAGAATGTTTCTAAGGAACTACTTAATCTGAGACCAAAGTTCCAAGTCCTGACAAAACCGATATTTCCCAATCAGCTTTTTAAAAAATAAAAATGCATCTCCCTTCTTTAGGAACACTAATATGTTTTTATATTTTGGAGTCGAGGGTGTCAGCCAGACAGACTCAGTAATAGCGGTTTTACACACAAACAGTGTGTTCTCCAAGCTAAATGCTATTAGTCATCCCAAACAAAATGCCCTCACTCTCACAAACAGGAAATGAGTGGCCTGGCCCCATCACAGCCAGCTCTGTAAGACCTTCCCCTGGTGAAAAGCTGTACCGTGGACACACACATCCCCAGGAGCAAGGCACCCAGGAGAGCAAACTCACGTCTAAGTGGCTTCTTCTCAAAGAGAGAGAGGTTCAAAGGGAGCCTGGGGCTCGAGAGGAACCTTCACCCCTGGGGACACATTCGCTGGGTCTGCACTGGCCTTTCCCATTTCATCTCCCGTTAAACACACCCCCACGTGACACCAAGGCATCGAGAGCATGCGTCCAAGCCACGAGCCCAGTGTTGACATAAGGACCTTGTGCAGGAACTCTTCTGTGTCCAATGAGACTTCCCTGAAAGCTGCTGGAATTGTTCAGAGGATGGCAAACACTAGAAAAGGGATTTTCATGCCCAACTCATAAAAGCTCATGAACAGGAATCCAGCATAAACAGGCCTGGAACACCGGGTCCCATCAATGGTGGCCTGGTTGGCACTAAAATAACTAAAATTCCCTCGGAGGAATTCCAGTGGTGAAATTAGTTCTCCCTATAAAAAGTCTTTACAGATGGTATTTCAGCTCAAGTCAGATACAGCTCATGGACATTCCCTCTTCCTACGAATATCAGAACAGGAATTAAAGGCAAAAATCAAAGAGCCCTTCACTTCTTAGGGGGCAAAGGAACTTCCTGTGGAACACAGTTCTCAGAATCTGGTCAGTGAGGACGTCAGGAAGGGAAGCTGGTGACTGGGAATCCTCTGCTTCTTGGTGGACTCTCCTACTGAATAGAACAGTCTCCTGAGCAAGGGCTGAGCAGCAAGTAAGGCGAGTTAACCAGTCCAACTTGCTGCTTTCTGACCACTACAGAGGACAGTGGTAGCAGTTTGAGGCACCTGAGCACAACAGTCACCTTTTGCTATAATCTCCTTCAATTTTTAAGAACTCAAAGAGAGGGGCTGCTTAGGTCCAGGCTTGCCTCCTGTAGACTACTGGCCATGAGGCAGCGTGAGTGCACACACTGACCAGGTGTGGCCATTGGGGGGCCACCCTGGTTGGCTAAAAGTGGAGCCTGCGCTGCTCCAAATCACCTGAAGGAGGCGCTCTCATAGCAGGACCCATCAAGCAAGTCTCACTCACTGTGGAGTTTGAGACCCATTTCCCTGAATGTTATACACACAGATCAAGCAGCCTTCGATACCAGTAGAACCCATCTTTTCTTTAAAAAAAAAAAACAAAAAAACACAGAGCCTAAACAGCAACCCACAGCCACTTCCCTGACTCTCATGTCACTGTGACTAACACTTCTTTTAGACACAGATAGAGACAGATAATTTTTCCCCCCTTTACTCAAACCTAATCAAGAGACTAAGGTTAACCAACATAAATGTCTGGATATCTGACCAAAACCCAAAATAGACCAAAAGCCCTACGCTCCATGTAGCTTTTCCCCAGGACCTCACACATTCAAACACTCAATAGGGAGGAGGTCAGTAAATATTCCAAATATGACCCAACACCCAGTTAGTGCTTTCTTCCTCCTCCATCTTCTGATATTCTTATAAAACAGGTCTTCTCTTTCAGGGAGTCCTTGACAGACAGAGAACTGGCCTTTCTAGGCAAGGAAGCAGAGCTGTCCTTCCCTCTTCCCAAGTACCCAGACACCGTCTAGAAATGACCACTGCTAAGCATAAACCAGAATTGTGTTAATAACTGGTTTTCAAAGGCATTTAAGTCTTTATCTGTGACAATTTAATTTTTTTTTTTAAAGAAAGAAAACAGGATTACCGTTTTCTGCTTCACTGCAAAAGCAAATCAAAGTAAGTTTCAATAAAATGTTAAGCTGCAAAGGCGAGGGAAGCGGGAGAATCAGGGTTTCAGACAAGGGGTGGTTATAGGTGTTTATGTGGCAGGTGGTCCCCAGAGCAGCAGAGAGAAACTGGCAGAAGCCCATGAACAGTGTGAGGCATCTCTGTGTGCACCGGGGCGCCCCCCAGGGGCCACTCGAAGAACAGCATGGAGCCTCTGCAAGGGAGGAGGAAGAGGGGTAGCACCCGCCACCAGGCCCCCCAAACCAGACTCAAGCCCCACTCTCACTGGGCCTGCACATTTGTCCTCACGGCCCCTCTCAGAAATGCCACGAACGCAGGCTTCTTTTAACGCAGAGATGTTATGTACAAATGAGAAGTTTGCTCTTTCTTTTCTCTTTCAATTTCTTACCTGCCCACCCCCTATTTTACATCCACCCAGCTACCTTCAGAATGAATAGGTTTCCTTCTGAAGTGTTCATTCACAGGCCGTTAACTTCCTTCCCAAGTGACGTAACTATCCCAAAAAGAAAGAAAAATAATCATGTTTGCAAAGTGTGTGGAGAACTGGCCCCTGTGGCTGTTTTCCTTCCAACACAAGCACATTACTATGGAACAGTCACCTGGAGCTCAGGAAAGGGGACAAACACCACCACCTAGGGCAGAAGGGATGGCACACTGCCTGGGATGCTGTCACCCTCCAAGGAACACAGTCCCACCAGGAAACCAGGAAGGAAGGGGCTAGTGGCTCTCCCTGGCTGGTGGGAAGCCCCGTCCAGGGAAGAAATCTGCACATGTGGGCGCTGCAGCCCCATAGATGGGCACCAGCGGTAAGGCCAGCCGTGGACAAGCCCCGCTGCGGCTGGCTAGCCAAGTGACCTGTGCTCACAGCTCCTCGGGAAAGTTATCAAAGTCCAGACCACCAGAGAGGCTCTTAGGATGAGGACTAGAGCCGTCTGACACACCCAGGACCACCTTTCCATCCTGTTTCATTGCAGAAAGTGGTAGGCAAGCCTACCTCACCTGCTTCATTCTATTTAAAAAAAAAAAAAAAAAAAGGTAAATTCGACCCTTTTGCTGCTTTCTATAGGAATTCACTTATGAAAGTATCAAAAGTATAATAGACTCTTCAGTGATTCCTTATTGTGATAAAATGCACAGAAGTATAACACAGGAAATGCACACATCCCTCCAGAGTAATGAATCCAGCAAAGCGACACACGCACAGATTATGTGGAACACTCAGGCTTGTGACAGCAGCCAGCAGGTTGAGTGATGGCCTAATATGGCACGTAATTAATGAGTTCCATCATAACTTTTTGTTTTATGATGCTCCCTTTTATATCCCAATAGTCAATTTAATAGCATTTTAAATGGGAAGAAAACCAAAAGAGAGGAGGAGAAAGCATTAGGTATCTTATTGAATCACAAATCTTACAATCTGAATTTTTTAATTCCAAAAGTGACCTAATAAACTTGCTTTATAATTACATCTATCCTAACAGCTTTTCTTTGGGGTTTTTCATTTATTTTTGGTAATCATGCGAAGGCTTCGATTGAAATGCATTGTCATTTTAGTTAAGTATTGTGTTCCCAGCATGAGGACCCTGTCTTGGGCTCCTCTGAAGCTTGACCTCAGGGACACAGAGTGCTGCCTCTCATGTTCCCAAATAGTTGGAGCCTCTAATCCATTAAATTGCAGCATAGGCCATATGCATGAGCAGTAACTTCAGAAATTTAAGCTTTGGGATGATTTCCTCAGATGGAAATCTTACCTTGAGAAAAATACACTGGCATCAAATTTTTCAGTTTTAGGCCTTCACAAAGTTTTGAAATTCACAACCTATGTTGAAAGTTTCCTGCTTACTGAGAAAGCATCTGACAAGAAAAGAACCACTTTGGCTGCTACAAGAGCCAGTATAGTGCTCAACAGGGGCCTGCTCTAGACCCCAAAGAGTAAGGAAAAGCCCTCAACCTCAGCTTTTATGCAGGCCTTCACCTGCCTTCCATGACAGGCAACTGTGGTACTAAATACCGTGGGTGAGTTTAAAGAGTCTGCAATTTTAAAGAATATTCTGTGCAAAAATTATTAATTTGGGGTCTGAGGTAGTGGTTTAGTGGTAGAGCACTTGCCTAGCACAGGTGAGGCACTGGGTTTGATGCTCAGCACCACATTAGTAAAATAAATAAAATAAAGGTATAAAAAATTACTTTCTATTTTCAGGAAAGCACCATAACTACAAAAATGCATGGACTCTTGCTACAATCTATTCCAGTTGGCATCTGTGTTCTTCTCTCAGGAAGGATTCTTTGAAAAGTTTGTATCATCTGAGTTTGCAACAATGTATCAGCCTGAGGAAAAATACCAGCCAGTAAGAAGGAAGCGGACGCAGACTTACCATTTGCTATATTCTTTTTAAAGTTGTCCAGGAATTCCTCCAGCAGTTGGGACTGGTTGGGAGAGGGCAGCAGACCCTTCTGGTCCCTGGAGAACAGGTCACTGTCCGACCAGGAAGTACACAGGGTTGCTTTTGTGTCCAGAGGCCGGGCAATCAAAGTGAGTCCAACGCTCTTCTCAGAAAACAGGGCCTCCATCTGCTTGAGGTCAAGATCAGACACAGCTTCCCCATTTAAGGTCATGATTTCATTGCCCTTTCTCAATCCTGAGCAGCAGCATAGGGAAACAAGAAGAAAACAGGTTATTGAAATATCTTGAAGGCTGCAGACTCAAACCGTGTACTCTGAGGGATGGTTTTGCCTGTTGCTTTCCTCAGAGAAAAAACCACATCTTACAGTAGCTAGCAGCCACTCAGAGCCACAGCACTACAGGGAAGAGTTCTGACATGACACAATTTGCAGAGCCACTGATTGATGAATGTTCTGAGGGCAAATGCCCTGGGAAATGGAGTTTGCTTTATCTGTGTCTGGCCTGCCTCTCATACTCTCTCCCTTCGTCTGTACACGTGGACGCATGCTCTGTCTTTTAAAATGTACATGCACATGCACACAAGCTTTCTGTGTCTATATACACATGCATTTTCAATTAAACTCTTAAGTTTATTTTCTTTAAAATTGCAGGAGAAACCATTTTTTGACAAAACAAAAAATTGCACAAAGTAGACCACATTTCTACAGTTTGAGAGTTAGAGAGAACAGACATGGTGCCACACGGACCTCCCCCGTATGCCAAGCCATCAGGGAGAACGTCACTGATAAATATCCGGCTGAGATGCTGGTGCTCATCCACCTGGGCTGTGACTGCAAACCCTGGGAATGAAAAGAAAAGTTAAATTCACCTCACCCCTCCACTTCCCCAACCCACTGACAATATTTCCTTGAACACTTGCCTCCTGGTAAATTCAGTGTTATTACTGTGGCTACTCATCAATGTTCATACTCATTCCTTTCATTACTCAGGCCTTGTTCCCAAATATTGACATATTTTATTCTACTAATGTAAATAGTAATGTAAAAAAGAGAAAGGAAGTTCAGAATCTACTGTCATTCTCTGAAAACGTGAACATAAAACAACAAGGTCCAAAGATGGGGGGTGGGGACCAGCAAAGCACAGAGCTCCCTGCACTTACCAAAGTCAGACACACTCCCCGTCTTCGTGAGGTGCACATCATAAATGTTTAGTGGAAAGACTTCTATTTCATCATAAACCTGAAAACCGCAGAAACAACAAAATCAGAGGTTTGATATAATGGTATCTTGGATTTTTTTTTACTTTTTTTTACATAACAAAACAAGAAAGCTATCAACAAACTACACTTTAGATGAGGGACATTTCCAAACCATGTGCGAAATTTAAGCCATTTTCCCTCAAAATTACATTTTTCAAACCCAAAATGATTTGATATGATTCCGATTCCCTTTCCTAAAGTTAATGCACTCACCTGTTCTTGCATGTATTCACCCAGGGCAGGAATGTAGCACTCAAAGCTCTCATCAACTAATTTTCGAAGTTGAAGGCCATAGTGACTGGGTTCCAAGTGCCTCATCTAGGGAAAAAAAAA